ATTCGTTTTGTATTCTTACATATTAAAAATAAAGATAAGATCATTGATTGACAACAGCTTGCTTTGTTTTAACTTAACCATTTAGTTAAGCTCGATTGTAAAGAAATCTTGTAGCTTATATGTAAACCACTTTTGAATCCGCTTCCTTGTTACAATGTAATGTTTAGTATGCCAATATCAAAGTCCGTGCAAAGCTCTCCTTCGTTGATATCCTGCATTTCTTCTCTCCCCTTGATGAGCCCTTTTCTCTAGTTGCTGTGTCCGGGTATCCACTACTGTTTCGATGTCACGCTTGGAGACATTGTCTATTACACTTTAGATCTTGGTATTGGACTCGCCATAGATTACATCGTCTGCCTGGTCGCTAGGGGCGTGGTGACATCATGGAACCTTGAGTGAAACCTTGCCCTCATAATTATGACCCGATCAAACCACATGCTTCATTAATTCGATGCTTATACATGTATAAGAAATATAAACAGATAAAAACTTTTCAAGGACCAGGATTATTTATATAAATTAATCTTTTGGCAATACAATGTTTTGATATAAAATAATTTACCTTGCACAGGTTTAAATCATGTTTAATGCAGATAATCTGTTATGAAGTTTCTGCAAGATTTATAATCAGGTTTGAAGATAATACTTTTAACCTTAAAACTGTATAATTATATATTTTATTTGACCTGAGAAAATCAACCGTAGGATATGTTTCTTTTTCACACCGTAAGGAATTATATATTCTTACGCATATTTAATCTTATTTTCTTAAGTATGACATGCTGACCTACTATTATCTTTCAGTAACTTTGAATAAGCCGCTCCTTTGACCCATATTATTGATATCGCCGTCGTATATTTATTTGTTTGAGTTACTTTTAAACATCCATTTTTGGTTATTTAAATACTTTCTTCGTCCAATTAATTCCCCGCCCCCGTATGAATGGAGAATTTGTTAATTGTTAATCCTCGAATATCCTTTTTTTATTTTCTAACATAGAATAAAGTAAATAGAAAACTTACACGAAAATGTCATACGTCTGTGAATATTTCGCTGTATGAGTACATAGGTAACTGCAAAATCTTTACCATTCTTTCTCTTTCCTTTAGCAATATTATTTGATTGTTTGTAATTATTACTAGCATGATAATCTCGTGCGATATGCGTTCAATATGTTGACTATTTCTAGATATTAAAGGATGAAATTTGTTGAACAACAAACGATTACTTCTTAATATTCCATTATACTTGTTACTAAAAAAAAGTCTCTAAACCGTGATTAAAATACAACACTCTCGTAAACATGATACCATGTATAGTTTGTAATATTATTGCCCTGTATTGCTTGCATGTTTATTTTGTTTGTATAAATCTGTATGCTGTACCATGCATACGACGAAATAAAAAAAAATCTATTCTGTTCTGTTGATTGTGTTTGTAAGCAAACAAAAAGTGTCACAAGTACGAAGGATGATGTTCGAAAAAGAATTGCTTGTTTTTTCGTCGCACAAAATCAATGTAGAAATGGCAACAAATATAAATGCATATTTGTATAGACATGTTCAATTGTAAACAATTATCTATAAATGTTATTTTACAATAGAGAAGACTCGTTAATGTATGTTACACGAATTTATTTTAGTTCGATTGTGTTGTAAGCTAAAGGCTTACAAAACATTCTAGAAGATGTTCCTGGAACCAACCAGTACTAAGCAATGAGCGTTAAGTTACTTACTCACGGAAACAACGACGAGATTTGAGCCTAAACGGCCAGCAATCCTTAGATTACTAGTCTGACTTGCCACTCGTCCACGCACACACACTTAAGTATACATGGTCGGTGAAAGCGTTGACATTAGGGAAGAAATAAAAGATCGTTCTAAGTTTGGTTGTTCTTTGAAGCAGATATTTGCTGAAATACCAGATATTTACACAACTGATGTGTCTTTTAACACAGCTTGTAGGTGGATTCTGGGTTAGACTCTGTTGAAAATATACCAAAATCAGGAAGGTCAGAGTGGGTATCCGATGCCAACAATATATCAAATGCTATAGAAATTGTTGAAAGAGATGCTAGATATTGCACAATGGTTAGTATATGTATACACGTGGAAATAAGTAAAGCACACGCCGGAAATTTAAAATTGGTTGTGATTGAAAGCACTGTCATGAGATGACGACTTAATTGAGCTAAGAAATAGTAATTTGATAAGTAGCGATACCAATTTAGTAATCATAAACCAGTAAATTTATGAGTTAAGTTTATTCTTAACCAAATTATTGAAGCATAAGCAAATGTTACGGAAGCGTCCTGGTGCCAATTTAAAGTTACATTAAATAAATATGTAAAAATATTTTGCTGTCGACCTAAAAATCAAGCATTTTACAGTATCATTAACCTGTTTAACAGTATTGTTGTAAATATCATCAAATATTGTTCATAAATTAGGATTTTAAACAGAAAACCCCACGGTAACACTAAAGTTGGTATACGAATTTTAACATGCAAATGAAGATTAAAATCAGCTTGTGTATGCGCTACGTCACAGTGTTATAGCAGCTCAAATATGAGATTTTCTTGTGCAAACACATTTTAACGGTGCATTAGGCCCCAGGTTCAGTAAAATGTAATCATCTCATAAAAACAGATTGAATTTGTATGAAAACATCCGTTACAATGCGGAAATATACCGTTAAATTAGAGCTGCTACTTATAGTCATGTTTGTTGATTAAATATTGATGTACGGATGATCTGAAGGCGGAGTTTCTCATGCAAATAGATATTGTACTTCCGAATTCGCCACAATGAGGTTGTCCATTTTTTATGCTTATAAAACTCATTTTGGTTGTCTGGACACCATAATAAGATCTGGAGTCGATATGAAACCCAATTTATTTATGAAATGTCGCTATTTCTGTTTTTATGAATTTTATTAAATGTAACTTTAACATGTTCTATAAAAAAAGATAACTCCTACGTAGGAGATAAAAAAAGCCTAATTAGGAGTTTTTAACTCCTACGTAGGACTTTATACGTATGACTTTGTAACTCCTACGTAGGACTTTTAAACTTCTACGTAGGACTTTGTAACTCCTACGTAGGACTTTTAAACTTCTACGTAAGAGTTTATAACTCCTACGTAGGACTTTGTAAGTCCTACGTAGGACTTTGTAGGTCCTACGTAGGACTTTTAAACTTCTACGTAGGACTTTGTAACTCCTACGTAGGACTTTTAAACTTCTACGCAGGAGTTTATAACTCCTACGTAGGACTTTGTAAGTCATACGTAGGACTTTGTAAGTCCTACGTAGGACTTATAAACTCCTACGTAGGAGATAAAAAAGCCTAATTAGGAGTTCATAAATCCTACGTAGGACTATATAACTCCTACATAGAGGAACACTTATAAAGTCCTACGTAGGACTTTAAAACTCCTAATTAGGTTTTTTATCTCCTACGTTGGACTTTAAAACTCCTAATTAGGTTTTTTTATCTCCTACGTAGGAGTTATAAACTCCTAATTAGGCTTTTTAACTCCGACGTAGGAGTTATAAAGTCCTACGTAGGAGTTATAAAGTCCTACGTAGGAGTTTGTAAGTCCTACGTAGGACTTTAAAACTCCTAATTTAGGTTTTTATATCTCCTACGTAGGAGTTATAAAGTCCTACGTAGGACTAATAAAGTCCTACGTAGGACTTACAAACAAAGTCCTACGTAGGAGTTATAAACTCCTAATAAGGCTTTTTATCTCCTACGTAGGAGTTATAAAGTCCTACGTAGGAGTTATAAAGTCCTCCGTGGGAGTTATCTTTTTTTATAGAACATGTTAAATTTGCACCAGGAGGATTCCGTAAAATGTACAGTTGTTTTTACTGAAAATGTAAGTTGTTAATTATAAGTATGGTATTGGAGCGTTTACAAAATATTTACTGGTGGAATTTTTTGGTAAAATTAATATTTGACATTTTGTAGCCAAATTTTTAATAACGTGTGAAACCGCCACGTGTCCGGATGATAGAGCCTCAACCCTTCTCCTCATACCACCAGTAAGGCGTCGGTAAAATTTTGTCATTCTTGGTGAAGAGCTTGTTCCAGTTGTTGCTGGTTGACTACAGTTGATTCGTACCATTGCCCAAATAAAATTTAAAATTTCAGTTGTGGTTATGTCAAAACTGAGGCAAAATGCCGGGTGTGCTTTACTTATTTCCTGGTGTATATTTCACTAAAATTGAAACTGGACGTAGATAATATACAAGTCAGGCACATGGAACAGCTATTTTCAGTATCTTACCAGTATATGTATCTGGAAATGGATACATCACTAAAAAAATGCATTTCTAGTAAAGGGGGTACTTCGAAAGATTGACAAAAATATATAATTGATCAGATCTACTTAAATTTTAATCTTGCAATTTCATAATAAGCATTTTTTCCGAACACCCATAGACTGTCTACATAGGTATTTGGCAACATTTCACGTTTATAGTACTTAAGCGGCCACCCATAGCCCTTGACTAATTTGCAATTTTTGATGCATACTTATTTATGACATCAACGTGTTCATTGATCACTTTTAAATGAGCCGCGTCACGACAAAACCAACATAGTGCGTTTGCGACCAGCATGGATCCAGACCAGCCTGCGCATCCGCGCAGTCTGCTCAGGATCCATGCTGTTCGCTATCAGTTTCTCTACTTGTTATAGGGTTGGTAAGCGAACAGCATGGATCCTGATCGCAAACGCACTATGTTGGTTTTGTCGTGACGCGGCTCAAATCGTCTTTATCAAATGCACCTTTTCAGCGCAATCCGTCAGACGCCTTACGAATTACTTCATTCGAATACCGATTATCTTCCTTTCATTCTAGGTGGTATACCACCATATAAAATATTAACAACATTTATCTTCATGAATAGAATTGAATCAAATTATGAAACTTTATAAAAAAAAATTCAATCATGGAGTCATAGAGTCAAGATTTAGATTGATATATATACGAAATTTTATGTGGATTAAAACATAGTTTATCTAAAGGGATTAATCGTCAAATCAATATATTGCTTCAAACTAATCGACACGATTTTACTGATCGGTTCTTATAGGTGAATGACTGAATTCACTAAGTGACGAAAGTTAATCACTTTATTTAAAATCCCGGTTTAGATATTTTTTTTATATAATAAGTGAGTGTTGATGTAAAGTTTCGTGTTAATTTTTTGTTATGGAATATTCTAAGTACCAGTATTCATAATTGTATCACTTATATCATGACGTTGGAAAAAATGTTTTCGAAAAAAAGTCTTATGTATAGTCGTTATGTTATAAACAAAGCTTGAATATTTTCAGTGATTCAAAGTGAAATTTTCAATCCAATATTTCATGCGAGCATATTAAAGCAATCTAAACCCAAAAATATTAACTTGCGACGATTTTGTCTTTCTTGAGCACTCTTATTAAATTTTTACATTCGCATATACGACAAGCCTGCGTTTTCTGTTCATTCTTTAGGCGAATACAACATTTTGTTACTGACAACTGGATGTGCAATTTTGATTTTATAAAGGATTTGAAAGTTGTGTTAAACCGGAATGTCTTTTTATGGTCTATAGAGCGCAGAAGTTGCTATTCACTGTTCAGAAACAGGTCGTTACTGATGTAGTGCCCAGAAACACTGGTTGACTAAAATCTGTTTTTTGGACGCTAGGTTTCATTGTTCCACACACAAACATAAAAAAAAGCAGTTTGCTAATCACATGGACAATAAATATAATTTTTATTAACACTTACGCGCACTTTAGAACGACTATTTTTAATAAAAGAAATGTCGTCTGCTAAACCGGAAGATGATATTACAACGCTGATGACTGCCTTGAAAGAATTGAACAACACAAACTATCAAAAGGTAAAGTGGAAACTTTTCATTGGATACGTTTAATGATATAGAAATGTTATTTGTATGTTTTCAGTTTTGAATATAAGAAACAAAGAAGATTTAAAAACAACCTCACTGCCGTCTTCTATAATATTTCCATTAAAACTAGACAAACATTATGAAAAAAAAATAAATGAATAGAATAATAAAAAGTAGAATAAAAAAGGGACAAATGCCGCAAATTTACATGGCATTATCTTTTAGCAAGAAAATCATGTTTATCCAATTTGCGTTCTATTTTGTGTTTAAACAGGGATGTCATTCAGTTGCAAACTGTGCGATATGACTTATATATCACTGATATATCTTTTTTCACACCAAATGAGGTTTCAGCATTTGCACAACGTATTGTTCCAATATAAATCATTTGAACTAATCTTATCGAATTAGCCTTGTTTTCATTTCCAAAGTCCATCAAATCAGTATGAAATGCATATAGTTCTCTATCTAGCCTCGTTTTCATCTTCAGAATCCAAAAGTTTCATATTGCACTTGAAGTAACTGTATATTTAAAATTATACAAAATACTTATGGTTTTGAGAGATTCCTTTTTTCCAATGTGTTTCCTTCTTGAGAATTGTTGGTGTGAAATAAAGAGTTCAATATACGTTGTAAAGTACCAATCTGATTTTATTAGACTCTTAAACCAGTGCAAAATCTATATTGGACGCGGCTAGTGCCTCGTCCAATATAGATTTGACAGCTGTTTGCTCCAACAGAATTCAGTATTGTACTCAACAATTTACATGTGTACATATAACCTGATAATAAATTATGACACTAAGTAAAATCTCAGGATTTGCCTATATCTGCTTGACACTTCGGTAACATTTTTACCTTGCTCATTTTTCAAGAATAGTCCAATAAAACATTCTTATATACCCCACTCAGATGTGTTATAATGTCTTTATTAACTTGTTTTACACTTCTTTTATCTGTCCATTGTTTTAAGAAATAAATAATACAGACATTTATAATTCTTCAAAGTAATGATCATATAACTTAGTCGTTATAAACTTTTCCGTAAAATTTTCGGCAAATACCGTTAATGCTTATGCACGTAATAAAATATTTAAACAGAAAATTTGTTTTTAACTTCTAAGAAAAAGGCACCCATTAAGAAGAAAATAAGGAAAAGGCACAGGAAACCCAGGAAGTCAGGCGTCGGTCTCCCAGCAGAAGAGGATGACGAGTTTGAATATAGCTGGCCAAAATGTGTGTGCGGAATGGACCATCCACCTGTACCAACTTTCAAACCACCTGACGGTAAAAGGTGCACATATTATTGGGTAAATATGAAATAAAACACACCCATCAAATTATTAAGTTAATATGGAACAGTAACTTTGTGAATAACATCTTTTTTCTTTTTGTGTCATTTTTTCTGAATTAAAGTGCAGATAAATCTATATCATACCTTATTTTGACGAGCTTAAATTGCTGAATAGCATAAAAATTAAAATGTTTAGGAAAGTGAACGCATGTCTCCGCGGGGACTCATATGACTTGACAGTTGTCCAGATTTGTTGTGTATGTCACATGAATATATAAATAAGTGATAACTTTGGGCGATAAACATTTAATAATCAAACACTAGATCTATACATTCAATTTAGTATGAATATATAATATGATTCTAAATGATCAATAAACGCAGACGTAAAATAGGAAAGTATTTCGCTCCCGTTATAAACATTTTGAAACTATATTAACCGCTTAAACAGTTATTGGTTTTAAACATAGATCATGAATAAACTTCTGATAATCATTTCATTTATCAAGTTAAAATAACGACTTGTGTCAAAAATGACTTGTTTTAGAACGAAACAACAATCGCTCCAAATGTTTACGATTGCTTCCTATCTGCTGAACAAAAAACAACAAAGCAAAACAAAACATAAAAAAGAAAGAAAAAATAATGAAAGGAAAGAAAGAAAGAAAAAAGAAAGAAAGAAAGAATGAAAACTTTTTTAAATCGAAAGTCTCGTATATCTGAAACAATAAAAAAAACTCATGTATTTTGAACAAACAAGCTGTTTTTAGGGGAAAAAAGGATCAAACATAGCAATCAGTTATTCATGTTTTTAATAGTTTTCCAACTTTTAATCGCCCGAATAAGATAGATTTAGATGATCATAAAATTGCCGTTTAGTGGGGATGTTTCTATAATTATATTATGTTTTCTATTTACAGCAAATAGCAGATTCGTTTCCGTTTATGACACTACATCGAGTGTTGTCTACAGAACTGAGATTCATAGAAGCAGACGATGATCAGAGCGGGGTATGTAAACGTTCTGTTGGTAGTTGTCACTCCAAGTCACATTGAATTTATCAGAGCTCGGTTCAGCCACCCCATCGTTCCTGGGCAGACTGTCAAGCAGTTTACCAGTAGTAGTTGCCTTCACTCCCTAAGAAACTTCTGTACATCCCAGAGGAGAGGTACAATGCGAGTGACCGTAGAAAGGATTTCATGATCAATCACAACGAAAGTGACATGCACCGTCCGGGAATCGAACCCGGGTCGCCCGATTCACATCCCAACGCTCCACTTATTTAGTTTACTGGACGACGTATGTAAACGTTGACTCTTACACAGCTATATATCTTAAATGTTTCAATCTGGACAAAACCTTTCATCATTTTAAGAGAATTTTCAAAATACGATGTAGGTACGGACTAAATAGCAAATTCTGCAGACCATGTCCATGCAGACGGGGTGGATACGCCGGCTGATCTTGGTCTGTACTGGTCGCATGAATAGAATTTATTGCAGCTAGCAGCCTTAGTGTTGATAGTTGTCGTAAATCACTAAAATATGCTAAATGACACCTATTGTATGTGTTTCAAAATTCCTGCAAATGCTTTTATCAATTTGGCCAAGGATAATATCAAAGCAGTGCGATAATTGTTATAAAAACATTTGAAACACCTATATATAATACATATCCTGGATTTAGAAAGCAATTGTTATTCTGTTAAATGGTCACTTGTGACTCTTCAACGGGGGACAATTCAATAGTAATATTTTATCACGAAACACAAGTTACCTCCATTCCATTAATAAGTTTTCCCGTATTCCCTGTCGTTCAATTTTAAACAATATGATATGAGTAATAATTGCAGCTTCACATCTCTTCAAGAACACGTGTCACTGAAATCATCGTGTAACTACTTGTCCTCTTTTATTGTCGGACTTATTTTTTGTCCTCTTTTATTGTCGGACTTTTTCTGTTTTCTAAAAACAAACACCTTTCATTATTTCTCAATCTTTCAGTTATTAGAATTAGAAGAATTGAAGACATTGTTGAAAGGTATCCTTGGTGAGAAGAATGTAACGGACAGAATGGTAGAGAAAACATTTAAAGAAATAGACACTGATGAGAGCGGTACACTCGACTTCTCTGAAGTTCTGGGCGTAAGTGTCTTTGTTATGTATATGTAGATAAAGGTTTGACATAATAAGTAACAACAAACATTAATAACTGTAAAAAGTTATATTTCATTTTGAACTGCAATTTTATTCTTTGAAATACGCTCTGGTTTGCAATTTGGAGGGTGTGAACTATATTCTAATGAAATGTTTTAATAAAATCTATGAAAGGTAAAGTAATGTTGCTTCTATAATGTTATAAATGGTCAATTCTGGAAATTTTGTACATATAATGTATCTGTTATTCAACACTCATTAATATTGTACATAAACAGAATGAAATGTTCCGAAACAAGATATAGCACTGAGAGCCTCATGACATTAGAGTGACCGCACATATATCATATATAGCGGACTGAAGCCGAAGGGTTGGGTCCGTTCAATAGTTTGGTAGTTGACTAGGAGGTTACTATATGCTATGAGGTCCAAAGTACTGTGCGTTTTGTAGAATATTTCTCGCGGTTTCTTGCCGTTAAATTTAAGCGGTTCGATAAAAACGTAATTGTACCGCTCAAGCGGTCGGACCGCTGACTACACCGTGACTATTAAATTATATAAATTCTAGCTGACACTTATATAAATAAAGAGAAACATATTTATGTAAGGTATAATATAGATAATGTAGTGCCATTTGTACGTTGGAACATTTGCAATTATTTTCGGCCGTTAGCTTTTTTCACATTGACTTCCAGTTCAAAAACGGGCGCCGATTTTGTGTAATCAAATTCTTGTATTTAATTGACAGATTGTAGACGCCTTGGTCCAGAGAGAACACACAAAATTACCGGAAACTTTACAAAAAGAGTATTCTAAAGTCTGCTCAATACAATGACGTCACTGCTTTTTATTTATACAAGTAATTTTGTTTTGCTTTTTTGTCCAATCTTTTGATGTTTATGATTTATTTACAATAGTTGTTTTTATGTATTTATGACTTATAATTCTAATAAAAACTTGTATAAGTTTGAAGTCTAAAGTTTTATTTATACGTGTATAGAATGCTCAGTGCTATGGGAATTGGGTTCATTGTTTTTCTTTCTCCTTTATTTCTTCTTTTTTCACTAACGAAATTTCATCAACGAAATTTATCATGACTTTGTCTTTGAACATAAATATAGACCTTTTTACCACAGGAACGGTAGTAGCATTTCGCGCATGCGCATTATGTATGGGATAAATTAATAACAAACGTCTCTCCTGTTTTTATGTTCTTTGTGGTATTAAATTACATTTCAATTCAGCACGACGACCAGTTTACCAAAATTCTTTTCCATAACTATTTACCGGCATATTCTACGAAATAAACATAGACTGATATGTGTTTCCCTACAAGTACTTACCTGTTTATAAACTAACCACAAAACATTTGTCATTTCACGGCGTCTCAACGCCGTGATATTGTGATGGGTAGTTTTCGGTAGCATGGGCAAAAGTCACGTGACAAAATGCCTTTCGATTTCTACAGCCGACATTTTATTGTTTTTACGCAATCATTGTACAGCCCATTTCCGTGAAAAATTACATAGAAACAGTTTTTTTTCAAAACCATATAGAATCTAAACAGTATTTTTATCAACACACGAAATATCAGCGTTTTATATTAACACATTTCCGGACATCCTTTCGACATGCTTGAGAAATTTGCCTTGAATGGATTATGTATGGTGGCTGATTAACGCCATCCAAATATTTTCGCGTCTTCGCCTCAAAATGCGAAAATGCGAAAACACGAAGGGACGACATATTTCGACTAATGTGTTCTCATGTCGGATCTATGTCTCTCTCGGAGTGAATCTTTTCACGTGTAAAATGTCTTTGAACATTACATTCCTAAGTTTCTATATTTGCAATTAAGAACTTAAATTGTCTTTTTTTTTTTAGCTCACCAGAGCCGAAGGCTCAGGGTGATCTATTAGTAACAAAGGGGGATACTCCGGCGTCCGTCGTCCGTCTTCATGCGTCAACAATCATCTTCTTCTCTGAAACTGCTGGGCAGATTTAACTAAAATTTGGTCTGTAGCATCCTTGTGATAGTCACACTTAAATTTGCTCATGTCATTTCAATTGGCCCCTTTTAGGGTTCAGCAGAGCTAAAAATAGAAAAACCTTTAGACATCTTCTTCTACAGAACCAATTGATGGATGATCACCAAACTTTGTCTGTAGCATTCTTGGGTAGTCTTTTATCAAGTTTGCTCATATTAATTTGATTGGCCCCTTGTAGGGGCTGCTTTAGCTAAAAATAGAAATACATTTAAACGTCTTCTTCTACAGAACTAATTGATGGATGATCACCAAACTTTGTCTGTAGCATCCTTAGGTAGTATTTTATCAAGTTTGCTCATATTAATTTGATTGGCCCCTTTTAGGGGTCATTAGGGCTTAAAATAGAAAACCTTTAGACATTTTCTTCTACAGAACCAATTGATGGATGATCACCAAACTTTGCCTGTAGCATTCTTGGGTAGTCTTTTATCAAGTTTGCTCATATTACTTTGATTGGACCCTTGTAGGGGCCGCTATAGCTAAAAATATAAATACCTTTAAATGTCTTCTTCTACAGAACTAATAGATGGATGATCACAAAACTTTATCAGTAACATTCTTGGGTAGTCTTTTATTAAGTTTGCTCGTATTTATTTGATTGGCCCCTTTTAGGGGTCTCTATAGGGCTAAAAATAGAAAAACCTTTAGACATCTTTTTCTACAGAACTAATGGATGGATGATTACCAAACTTTGTCTGTAACATTCTTGGGTAGTCTTTTATCAAGTTTGCCTATATTATTTTGATTGGCCCCTTTTAAGGGCCGCTATAGCTTAAAATAGAAATACTTTTAAATGCTTTTTCTACAGAACTAATTGATTGATGATCACCAAACTCTGTCTGTTGCATTCTTAAGTAATCTTTTATCAAGTTTGCTCATATTAATTTGATTGGCCCCTTGTAGGGGCCGCTAAAGCTAAAAATAGAAATACCTTTAAACATCTGCTCCTACAGAACTCATAGATGAATGATCACCAAACTTTGTCTGTAGCCTTCTTTGGTAGTCTTTTATCAAGTTTGCTCATCTTAATTTGATTGGCCCCTTTTAGGGGTCTCTAGGGCTAAAAATAGAAAAACCTTTAGACATCTTCATCTACAGAGCTAATTGATAGATGATCATTAAACTTTGTCAGTAGCATTCTTAGGTAGTCTTTAATCAAGTTTGCTCATATTAATTTGATTGGTCCTGTTATAAAGCTAAAGCTTAAATGCACTAGCATTTCTTTAAATTAAAGTTTAAAGATATTCTAAGCTCTAATTTTAATATAAAAAAAATATTGACAATGGATACACAGTCTCCTTATAAATATAAATATGAAATATACGTGTTTTGACTTCACACAAAGTAGATATGTTATGTTTTAAATTCTTAACACTATTCGTGGTCACAGTATAAATATAATGATAGTGTCATTACAAAAACTTTTTTTTTCTTTTTTCTTTATAGAAAAGACCATCTTTACATTGCCTGTAATAGCATATGCAGTTTCCTGTACATAGTATATTCATTCTTTTATCCAAATAAGACATTTTCACTAAGAATTTCATAAATTTCATTGGCTTGGGTCATGACCTGTTTATGATGTGTAAATATATTTTAGCTCTGGAATTCGGACTATTGCATCATTGTAAGGTCAGTTGTAGGTCATTAACCAGGAAAAAAATAGGTCTAAAGAAACATAAAATTTGTTTCTCCTGTGCTCAATTCTCTTATTGAATTTTGTAAAAAATTGTAATTTTTTCATTTTTTTTGTAGAATTAACAAGGGACAAGGGGTTTAATTTCTGTTCCTGAATTGAATTTTGATATGAACTGGCTTACTTTTGATATATTTGATATCGCTTTACCTACTTTTTTTGTCTTTTATGTACAGACTTGAAATTTGGACTATGGGTGTAATTTGTGTAATTTTTGATGTTGAATTCAATTTTGATACCAGCTGACCTACTTTAGGTACTACTGACATCATTTTACCTACTGTCTTGTATTTTGACATTCAGATTTTAAATGTTGACCAGGTTTGTCAATTCTGATGCCGAAATGAATTTTGATATCAACTGACCTACTTTTGATATTTTTGATATAATTTGACTTTCATTCTTGTGTTCTTGACATACAGACTTGAAATTTGGACTAGGGGTGTAATTTCTGATGCTGAATTGAATTTTGATATTAACTGGCCTACTTTTCATATTTTTTACAATGTTTGACCTATTGTCTTTTTTTGAGGTACAGTTATGTTACCATACAGAATGTATAAAAAATTTGTCCCAAACTGTGAACTTCAAACATCTACACCTTACATGTTTTGCATGTGACATTTTGTGTTTTCATTCAAAAAAAGTTTTAAAAAAATTGTCCAATCAAAATTAATCCTGCTCTAGTGGTCAGTTGTTCTGCATTTATTCTACATAGTCTCATAGGAACACACTTGCAACATACATATCTTAACAAATCCTTTCCAAAATATTAGGGCAAAATATTACAATTTTTATAGTGAATAATGAAATGATGGGTTAGATGAGTCATCTAGGACCATCTTAGTGGTCATATTGTTTATTATGAAGAAAAAAAGCTAAAACAATCAGTGTTGTGAAAGTATATTACTAAAGGGGCAAGTTAAAGTTGATCGAGCTGAACTGCCGAAAGAGCTGGACTTGCCTTTCAGCAAGTTCTTTTGAAAAATAATTTCCAACACTGAAAAGCAGTTGTTTCTGGTGAGCGACTCAGGGCCATCATGGCCCTCTTGTTAAATAATTTCATTTTTCTTGCGCAATTCTCTAAAATGAGACTTGGTTTTTCTATATGCGTTTCACAATTAACATTCATCATACCAGGTTGTAAAATAACTTAATTTGGTCCTTAAATCAGATTTTACCACAACATCAAACTTCATTCAGAATTCATGTCACGTTATTGAGAGCAAAATTCTGAGTTTCCTTTAGATATGAGCAAGAAAATGTTTATTACCCCCCGCCGAAAATACGGATATAGAATTAGTCTCCATCCGTCCGTCTGTCCTTCCGTCCGTCACTCTACATTTTTGTCCGGAGCATATCTCAAAAAGTATCAATTTGAAACTTCATAGGTGGAGGTATCAACTTGAAACTTCATTTGTGGATAAATCATATTTAGGAAAAGTGCAGTGCACAAGAATGATAACTCTACGCTGCATGTTTTTTTCATTGTTGCCCTTTGTTATTCTTCAAACTCAATTTTTGTCCACAGCATAACTCAAAAAGCCTTTGAGATATCAACATGAAACTTCATAGGTGGATAGATCTCACTCAGGAGGTGTGCAATGCAAGAGTGATAACTGTACCATTTCTAAATTTTGAGTTATTGCTCTTTGTTATTTTTCATACTTAATTTTTCACCTGAGTGGAGCATAAATTAACTAAAAAACAAACTTTGAGATGTCAATGTAATCTTCATAGGTAGATAGATATTTTTGAGGATGAATGTTGTGCGAAAGAATGATAACTCTAACCTTTATAATTATTGAGTTATTGACATTTGTTATTTTCTTACTTTTTGTCCGGAGAATATCTAAAAAAGTGGTAGAGGTAACAACTTGAAACTTCATAGGTGGATAGCTCTTTTTGATGAGAAGTGCAGCACACTAGAATGATAACTAACCGTGCATTATTTTTCAGTTATTGCCCTTTGTTATTTTTCATACTTAATTTTGTCCAGGGTATAACTACAAAAGCCTTTGAGATATCTACATGAACCTTCAAAGGTGGACAGATCTCACTCAGGAGATATGCAGTGCAAAAGAGTGATAACTCTACCCTTCATAATTTTTAGTTATTGCCCTTTGTTATTTTTCATACTAATTTTTTCACCTAAGTGGAGCATATCTCTGAAAAAGTCTTTGAA